CTGGACGAAGAGATGCGGAAGACGAAGCAGCGGAATCAGCCTAGAAAAAGGTCGGGATTGCTCAAGATGGAAGACGATTGAACGGCCACAGTCCTTTTTGCAGCATCATTATTCATCATTATCATCATCATCATCGTTCATCGTTCTATAAACGTTTAAAAAAACGAGGCAAAGCGTCTTCCCCGTTCTCTTTTTTTTGCCTTGGGTTTCATTTGTTTGCATCATACTGGCGCTCGAGGTTTTTGTGTTTTCTTTTTTTTTTTTTTTTTTTCTCTCTCTTTCGCAAATTAAACCTAAGGCGTCGGTTGGACTTTCTTTCATATACCTCCTAAACAAGCCCATCACCGGTTTATTATTTTGTATGGGGCGGCAGGTTTCTACCATCTGGTTGGTTTCTACGGGGGGAGCGGCTTATTGGGAAGCAGCTGGTATGTTGCTCAGGAGCCAAAATATCTTTTTGAGGGGGGGGCAAAAACTTCCCAAAAGAACTCGGGGTATCTTGATGCCTGAAGAGGGACTATACCTATACCTATACCTATACCTATACTTAGGCGGCGGCTATCTGACTGGGGCAAAGGGAGCAAGACAAGTAATAGCATTTACGAATGGGGAGGGAGGCGATATGGTCGGGTACAGGAGTATGTCTTGGAGCCTAATCCTCGGGCCCTCTTCGCACCCAATTCCCCCCTCAAAAAACGAACCTCTCAAATGGATTCTGATATTTCCAGCCTATCTCTCTACAATGACTACCAATGACTGAATTTAATTCTGCTACCGTGTGTCCCCGTATCCCGTGTCCCGTGTCCCGTGCTCGATAATGTGCACACTCCCCGCGTAGTCTAGGTACCAAGGCTTGTGAATGAGGTATGTATGTCTTAGAATACCATTTACGTACGAAGCCAAAAAGCCTCTCTCCTCTCCTCTCTCTCTCTCTCTCTCTGTCTTTTAGTCTACCATCTTACTCTCTCTACTCTCTGTGGGCCAGAAACGACCGAGACATGAACCTCCCAACACTAGACCAGAAGCGTCAAATTCGATCTACGCATCTACCCAAACTTGGCCAAACTTTGACCCAGCCAAGATTGTAATAGCCCCATGAAAGTGTTTCTGATCAATCCTGTACGAGAGAGGTTCAGTAAACGGGTAAGGCGTTGTTGTTTTTTTATCTTTTTCTTTTTTTTTTTTTTTTTTTTTTTTTTTTTTCCCCTTCAGCCAAGAATCGCATCACCCATTCATCTCAGTATTACAACTAACCTTAAACTACAGTACCGAGGGCGTAATTATTTCCCAAACACTCCCCTCCCCTCCCCTCCCCTCCCTTCCCCCTTCCCGGTAAGTTAGTTTGTTTGTTTCGTTCGTCATCAGGTACCCACGCACCGGGTTTCATCTTACAAACTACATTTCACTTTGTATCTACACTGAATACCCTGTGACCTGTGACCTGGGGCCACTGAACACTCAACACTGAACACTGACTATGATTCCAGGACGTGGCTTGTAATATCTTAACACGCCCATTGAAGGGGTTTAACGAAGGCCAAGCGATCAACTTGGCTCAGATGGATAGATAGATAGCTAGCTAGCTAGAGAGCGCCGCCAGAGTGACGGTGTGTGTATGAGTGAATGCGAGACGAGACGTGACCGTGACCCTTTCGTGCTGAAGCCACCACATGCTTTGCGGCGCCTGGTAAAAGTGACACCGAAGTCTGTCTGTTCAACATATTACTTACATAGTTTGACTGACTGACTGACTGATCAACATAAGCAATCATATAATTATTCAGGAACAGAAATTGAACTGGAGAGGAACTGGAGACTAACTCCCCGTGACTGGGACTACCTACATCTCCTCGTAGATAAAGCACTGCCGTATGATAGACACACGGTCGAGCGTCGAACCGTGATCTATCTACGGAATATAGTTCTAATTCTAATTCTACTTCTAGTCCTAGTTCAACATCCCGTAACCATCTTATTCCTCATTCCATACTGTTCGATGCCGTGTCGCGCAGGCAGAAACTTATTATAAAAGACGTTCAATTACAAACCAGACTCGGGCGCGCGTATCTAGATCATCTAGCCTCTAGATCATCTAACCTCTCTCTCTCTCTCTCTCTCTCTTATAACAACAGGTCTCACCCTTTTCAATCTTGTCTACAAGACTAATACAGGGGGCCTCTATCTTTTTTTTTCGGCCTTTTTTAAACCAATGTCAAACTGAATGAGGATTATAATTTAAAAAATGTTCCTTTGCCTTGGTAAAACATAGCGTGGTGAAAAAACAGTGACCTCTCTACTCCCGCCCCCCCATCGGCTGGGAGATAGGGATAGATAGCTCTGGGCAACGCGCCGGCCCGATTGCCAATTTGCCGGTGTTAATATACCCAGTAGTTAGTCTAGTCCAAGTACTGTATCAGAAACTCTTTCTCTCTCTTTTTCATCTTTTGATTCACTTTGCGTTTTTGGGGGGGGCCTTTTCATCCGAAGTCGCGATTCTTGGAACTTGTGTGTGATAGTATAGTGATAGTAGAACGCGTAGACGTGTAGCCGTGGCAACGCCGTGTACGTGTGTGTGTGTGTGTGTGCGTGTGTGTGTGTGTGTGTGTGTGTGTGTGTGTGTGTGTGTGTGTGTGAGTTGGTCGATGTCTTTTGATATTTCCGGGTTTTAGCGGCCGATCTTGGCTCCTGTAGTAATAGTAGCAAGCGCCCATGTTGGAATGGTTCGAAGCCTGCTAAGGCGAATGTGTTAGAGCATCGTATCTAGGGAGGTTGGATATACTGTAGATCGGGCTCTCCGGGTGATGGTGATGGCGATGGTGTAGTTTAATCATTGCGCGCCTCCTGGGCTGAACCGAATTCACGACTTCGGCAGTCGGGACCTGAAGTACCTGATATTGAACACGAAAAGAAGATAAATCGACCTGTTCTGCTGAGACGTTCATCCTGTTATGATCATGGCCTTGTTCTCATCACCGTCTGGCTCAGTGTTGCGTGGTATTGGTGAGTGTCGCCGGCACGGGCAAATCTACTGGCCATCAGGACTTGGCATCCCTTACTCCAGTCTATCGTTTCCCCTTCCGATTTATGAAACCTGAGGAGTAAACTGGTCCGTGGAGATACAAGTACTTTCTCTTGTCATCATCGGCGTAATGGCTTTTTTTTGTTTTTTGTTTTTTGTTTTTTTATCACACCATGATGTGGCCGAGGCTTGTCATTATGAATCTCATGATGCCATCCGTCCATCATGAAACTGTCCATCACATGAACAACCGTAGGCAAAGTGAATAATCGACATCATTACGATCGTCGATGACTGCGCCATGTTTGCCAGATCAGAGTATATCGCGCTGTCCGGGGCCTTCGTATGGGTACTTTCGGTCATCAATCCAAGTCTACTTCTCTCTCGATCATGTAGCTAAGACTCAGAGTGGGTGAGTCCGATGACTCGGACCTCTGCCTGGCCAGACCAACCAGGAAGGAGAATTCGCCTCTCTCTCTCTCTCTCTCTCTTTTGTAAGATCATACCTACATGATCCCGTGATACCGTGATGTCGGGAAGTTGCCACTTGCTGGTCACGCTCGTTCTTCTCCTATAGGGGAAAAGTATATTGAGGCGCTCACTGACACGGCCGAGACTTTACCTGACCCGTCGTCCATGTGATGATGATACAGTGCCCGTGTACATGTCCCGACATTGATTCTCGAGACAATGTTTCTTCAATCGAACACGTAAGCAACTGAGCGTTATGGGAAGACACACGGAGCGTCGATGTAAGACAGCCTGGTCAGTCGAGAACTCGGAAACGAAAACGAACTACGGGAAAAAAGTTGGTCTCGTGAGCTGTAGGGCTTTGGTACGGGGGTATGATTGCATATCGCTACTTGCATCGATCAGGTAGCTTTTGCATGATTAATAGTGTCTGCATGCAAGAGAAGCGTTTGACTTCGCCTCGCGGCTGATCCGGGGGGTTGAATTCGTCTGTAGCTGGATTTGACATCGCGGGAATCGCCGGCAACACCATATGACACAGTAGTAAGCCAACCATTAGGGACTTTTGAAGAAAAAAGGGAAAGAAAGTCTTCTGAACATATAGAAAAGATATCCAGCACCGAAGCGATGTCAGACAGGACATAAGATAGAACCTCAAGAGTTTTAAAGGTAGATCCCGCTGGTGATTTATCTGCCCGTGTCCATGAGGGATAGGGTTCTCATGTCAGGGCAGATTCTGTTTTAACGTGCAACGGCATATGAGTTTTCGAACATTGAGGTTTCAATAGGTTTTTCCCTTCCCTCCTATCCCCTAGTCCCGTTCATGTCCCGTATCCCTTCCTAGGTTTTTGAACCAGGGGGCGCATAACCCACCGGGGCTTCCATTATGATAGCAATGTATGGCCTCGTTTTGATTAGCGAGATAGAAATGAATCAAACATAGAGCTTCCATAATAAGAAGTTTCTGAATACCTTTTCTCCGAGATTATGGGTGTAATTTTGGCGGACCTTGTATCATTTGCCGCTGTGGCCGGCGTGTAGCAGCGTCGTGCCCGACGATGTAGAGAATAAAGATGTGTTTGAAGTAATCAAAATATCTCGAGATTCACGGAATCAACCATTATTAGGTGTGTTTTCCAGACAAGACAGATGAATCTTTTAGATATTTTATTCACATCAATCACTTGTATTGTCGGTAGCCAGATGTAAATAGGACACACGCAACGTAGGAATATGTCAAAGATAATTATCCTACAAGAATACCCCGCTTACGTAACCCAGAATTAAGCTTTACACACGTTTGTCGCGATAAACCAATAATACACGACCGGGTTAGGGTTAAGATTGTTTGTCATCAGTCGTCGACTTCGGCGAGGAACGGGTCGGCAAACTGTCATTGATCTAAGATGGACGTTTCCTTCATCGCTTTGGTTTATTGTGGATGCTCGGCCGGGTGCCGATTCTACTTGGGCGGTTTGTGTGCGACGGACTGATATCGATACTAAATACCGGCTTCGTGGCCCAATGGCAAGGCGTCTGACTACGATTCACCACTGATAATCAGGAGATTCTGGGTTCGACCCCCAGCGAGGTCAATGATTTCTTTTTTTTGCCCTTTTTTTATAGTTTCCTTTTCTTTTCTTTTCTTTTCTTTTCATTTCACTTCAATTCATGAGCTCTGCACGTATTCTCCAACGACGTGATTCTTTTTGTTGTCATCGAGTCTCACAGCGATCGGTATTGGGTTAGGGCCCTGGATTGACTGATTAACTACCCCACATTCACTGTTTTTTTTTTTGTTTTTTTTTTCATTTGTCTTGGTCCCCGCTACCGAACAAACCAAATCATCTCATCAATCTCCCACTCTAGTCGCAAACCCATTTTGACAGCCCTGTCGTTCTCGAACACAAATCTCGCCGCGATGTGCTCGTCACCGCCGGCCTGGAAGGCGCTAAGATGAGCCACGTATTCAGTCTGCTCACGTACATGACGAAAGACCAGCGTGTACCCCATTGACCGATCCGAAGCATCGATGAATAACCCGCCGTCCTTAATCTGTACCGTCATGCCGTGATATCCAGGATTCCAGTACACTCCCACGTACGCCTCCAGCGGCATCTTCTGCGGTTCGAGCTCGTCGTCTGTATCGCATAGCGCGCACGCCGGCTCGTCAAGCCGCCCTTCCTCGTCTCGATCCCGCCGCGTGATCATCTTCTCCCAATCCGGCCGTTCCGTCTCCGGCACGCCGAGGGCCTCGTCAATGAGCTCCCGCGATAGAATCGTAGCCACCGACCCTGCATTCTCCGTATTCCCTAGTATCACGCCGCCGAGCTTGACCTCAGGGACAAAGAAATGCCGACTACCGAACCCAGCGACGGCCCCGTCATGTCCAACGACCATGTATCCGCGATAGTAAAACACCTCCAGACCAGCCGCGTACGCAAGCGGCGACGTCATCGGCTCCCGATCCTCCGCATCGCGGGTGGAGAAGCTTCGTAGACGGATCAGTCCCCTGTAGACTTCCTCGTCAACCGGGTGTTCGCGATTCATAAGCGCTTTGACCCATTTCAGATAATCATTCGCGCTCGTGATGATGGATCCCGCGCCTTGTGCTTCGGGCGTATCGAGCGCTTCGAAGCCGGCGTATTTCTCCTGTTTGTCGTCCCATGCGTACCCAGTCGCCAATCGATCACCTAGACCAGCGGCTTTGGCACGTGCAGGCTGGAGATGCGTTGAATTCATTTGCAACGGGGTGAAGAATCGCTCCTGCAGAAAATCAGCGAATGCTAGACCTGTCTTTTGCTCGATTAGATGTGTGGCGACTGTGTACATGATGTTGGTGTAGAGGTATTTCGACCGGAGCGGTGCGGCCACTGCTAGATTCCGCAGGTTTCGGGTTACTGAGCGTGCGGTGTCGGGGTGCGAGGCGCGGATTCCTAGGTAGGAATCGTCGTGCCTACGAGTGCGTCAGCCCTCTTTCCTGGAGAGGGGAAGGGCCGGGGAATTAGTTACCGTGGTAATCCGGTTCTATGACTGAGGACATCCTCCACTGTTACATTCTCCGTGTATCCCTGGCCCGACATGACGAAGTCATCTCGTAGCAGGCTTGACATGGTCGCTTCATAGCGCACCTCGGGGTATTTGTCGTTGTCGCGGACGAGCAACGCCACAGAAGCTGCGGTTAGAGACTTTGAGGAAGATGCTATGTCGAAGAGGGTGTCGGCGGTACATGGTTTCGGCGGATCGAGAGATGCTTGGCCGTAACCTGATGAGAAGATCTGCTCGTCCTTTAGTATCGCTATGGATAGGCCGGGTATGTGGTGGCGGTTTATGAGGTCTCGTACGCGGAATGAGAAGGCGGGGGAGGTTAGGTAGTCCATGATTTGGGGATTGGTCATGGAGATCTCTTGGTGGTTTGTTCCTGTTTGTTTTGGAGGGAAACAGTCGTAATTCAGATCGAGGAGACGAGATGAAGTTGGCATTTGGTCTAAATACCCCTTCATGCGCCCGCCACTCGTATCCGGTGATATCACCGGTGAGTTACCGACAACAATGCGGTGCTGCGCGTCAGACGGGCGTAAGCTCTTTTTTTTTTCCTCGCTGATCTTATCATGCGGGTGGACAGCCCCAGACTCATTCGAGTACTTGTCGTTCTCGGACCTGTGAGAATGCGAAGAACCTGCTTGGCTTTGGCTTATCCCGTCACTCAACGAATTGGATGAGAAGAGCGGGACTTCTCACTATGAGCAATTGGAAGACTACAGGACTACACCGGGTTGGCTGGCCGAAACCGAGTCCAATTTCCCCCTCTCTAGGGGTGAATTGCTTGGACGTGCCACTTCCGGCTCGTCGCAGGTTGGAGTTACTCTTGTACGCAGATCTGAGATCGGGCGGGGGGCTTGATTAACCTCTGCGTTTAAATGCGATCTCTTGATGATCGAAACTCGTTAATATTGACAAAGATTTAATAAGAAAGCTACACGACGCGAGTCTCAGACTCCGGCTACGAATAGTCACCTATGAGAGAAATTTCATAATATCAGAGCCCGTTCTTCAGAGTGCATCGCTGTATTCCCGCCCCGCAGTCAATTACCCAGGGCATCCTCTACACTACGGGTGTTCGTCGTCTTGGCCTCGCGCGCGATTTCAGAGCCGAAAAGCAGACTTTCATGTCCGTCGCCTGTCGAAGGTCAACAACATAATAACAAGGAAGGCGATTTACAGGTCGCTAATAATGTTTCCAGGTCTCATCTGTCACTTCGCTCCTGTCGATGACGAGGAGCTAACCCTAACCCTAACACCAACCCTAACCCTGAGGGGGTTAGCAATGTGAGATGGGTCAGTGTATCGTTGCGTACAACCAAACGCAACCAATCTGCTTCTTTTCACAAGTGCCACCGAATAATCCCCAGAGACATTGAAACTGCTTGCCATTCGAAATATAATACATAGCGAAGTCGCCTGAAGAACAAAGCTAAAAAGCAAAACGATAAAACGCCCCAAACCCTAACCCTTGATGCTCCCCCACCATACACTCAACCCTAACCCTCGTGATTTTCTCCCCGCAACCCTAATTTTCCATCCTGTTGTTTTCCAGCGGCCCGAGATGATGACTAGAAATATCCTTGATGACGTAAATCTGATCGAAAAGCACCACCTGATCCAGGAACATCGCCCAGATATCCAGTCGTCGCCTACTCAACCGGGCAGCCGCAACGTCCTTGGTCGTCTCCGCCGTCCTGCGTCCCAATTCCTCGAGGCGACTGAACGCGAGTCGTAGACAGCTGTACTCGTACCGTCCGAGCTCATGTAGTTCATTCTTCCGCCTCTCGACGCCGTCATGTGACGCGAACTCAGGGAAGAAGACGGAGTTGATGGCCCCTTCGTCTTGATCGCGACGTATCGAGCCGAAGTCATTGTATATGCGTGCCATCGTCGATAGATGGCGCGCCACGTCGGCCGCGACGTATTTCTCGCTCGCGCTCGGGAAAACGTCTTGCCCGCCGCCGTGGGGGGTTAAAGCCGAGCTGAGCAGACAGCCGATGAATGCCCACGCAAACGGACCCGATACATTGTCGGAGCCGGTAGTCCTTGCCCAGGTGAAATAGGATGTCCGCATGCCTATGTCGGTGTTATTGTCGAACGTAGACGAAGTAGAGGACACGGAATTCCTGCGCTCGCGTAGAGACCGGAAACGCGTGCTGTCTTCTTCTTGTTGGACCTGGGAGAGCAAGTAGGTTCTCAGCTCGCGTTTTAGGTTCTGTTGGTCTGCTGGGCTTGCGCTGAGGACTTGGGGATGCGCGAGGAAGTAATCTTTGAGGCCCCGAAGGGTGGAGAGGACGGTCTCTTGCGTAGGGGTGTTGCCGTTGCCGTTGCCGTTGCCGTTGCCGTTGACATGGCCGTTCGAATACCCATTCACCTGTCCCTTGACACCATTACTCATCTCACTTTCCTCAGAGAACAACGCGTCAATCATCTCCCTCAATTCCGAAAACCGTCCCTGGAAAAGCGGCGTAGCCACCGCCTCCACGAACTCATCAATCTGATACGTCAACGTCGACAACCTCGAAACCTCGAACAAAAACGAAGCAGAAGCGAACGTCCTTGCACGATTATTCGGACTCGTCCAGAAGAACGGTATGAGATCGAAGTATTTATCCTCGTCCATGCCTTCGCGCCGAAACACGTCCAGTTTGTGTTTTAGTAACAAGGGTTTCAGGAGCATGGCTTCGATCATGGAACCGCGGAGCTCCCATTCCGGATGTCCGGCGAACAAATCGGCTTGCGAGAAGAGCTTGATGTGCTTGTTGATTCGGGTTGTGGGTACGTCTTGCCAGAGACTGGAGCCCGTCGTGCCTCCGGTTGCGGGTGAGGAGCTGGCTGCTTTGAGAGCGGCTAGGACGTAGGAATCGGTCAGGAGGCGGGATGCGTAGCTGACCTTTTCGATCCAGATGTAGTTCAAGGGGCGGTCGTCGATTGACTGGATGAAGGCGACCGCGCGGTTGATGGCGTCGTCCAAAGGGCGACGGAGATCGTCGAAGAAACACACGCGACGGGCTTCGCTGAGTATGAGGACGCCGTATGCGGTCTCTTCGATGGACTGGTTCCATGAGCCGTTCTCCTGCTGATCGAGTAATGGGCGCAGACACGCTTGGAATAAAGCCACGGCGAGTCTCGACTGTAAGTCCTTGTCGAAAACACCCGGTAGCTTATCCTGCTCTATCAGGTTGAGAATGTCGACGAAGGCCTCGACCATGAGGACGGAAGGGTAGAGATAGCATGTGTTCTGAGATCATTAGCTCACCAAACGCCCTCAAGGCTTCTTCGAGTGGGAATACGTACCCATTTATCCACGATCTTCCCATCCGTCTTCCACCAAAAGTCGACGAGGAACTTGGTGATTTTGACGATCTGCGTCGAATACAGCGATACGTCTGGCTGGTGGAGGAGAGCTAATAAGGCATTGCAGTTGGCAGTGGGACTGGGATCTCTTTCGCCCGCGTATGTGCGAAAGTGAGTCTCTGCCTCGAATCCTTCGATCAAGCTTCTAGGGCTCACGGGGCGGCCGAGCATGTTGAGGGATGAGATCGTCTTG